TTTCCTAGTTATTTTACTGAAATTGCAACTTTCACAAACAAAATTATCATCAAAATGTAATTGTCATCAACGTGCCATCTATAAGGTTATTATTATTCATTTTAAATAAATATTGATTGTTTATATAAACTAGCTGTTTATGCCACACGTTATGATCAATGTCAGGCGTTTTTATAATACTATAGAAACTTTTATGATCATTATCATTACAAGGCTCAGTCCGAAATTTTAAACGCTTATCAATCTATTCACCGATCAACTGCATTACTTTCCTCATCCATCACAACAACCGTATCGCTTTGCTATACTATTTTGTAACCTTTCTTCATAAGTGTCGTCATAGATAGTAAATTTTCCCTAAGTTGTGGTACATATAAGACATCGTTAATGATAATTTCCTTTCCGTTCTCATTTCTAATCTTAATTTCAACGGTACCTACTCCTTCGAAACGCAATCTTGATCCAGCTCCCACCTAACAGAGTTCACCTTCCTGAAAATCGATATTAGTAAATCATTTAAGATTATTTGCCATATAATTGGTCGCACCACTATCGAATAACCAACTTTCCTTGACATTATCTTCTGTATCAGAATTATAAAGTGTAAATGCATATTTTCTATCGTTACTATCTACCAATTTTTCTACATTATTAGTGGATTTCTTCTTGTCCGTATTTTCTCAGTTCACGTCAGGGTCCTTCCGTCCTTCTCGTTTTGTGTTAGAACTGAATTATAGCTTTATAATTCTCTCTTTGTGATTTTTGCGATGCCTGCATACCTTCGCAAGATAGCCGTCATTTCCACAGATATAGCATCTCTTGTCATTTTTCTTCTGAATGGCATATGCACCGTCTCTCTAAGATGGTCTCTTCTACGACGTTGGGATTCTTTTTCATGTTCCTTTAGAATTTCGTGAATTTCTTCTAAGAATTTTTCTCATCTTCAATATTTCACGGATCTTTATATTGATTGTGTATCATACTTATCTATATAAGACATTAATGTCACGTTCACGCCTAATGATGCACATTTCCTAAGCGTGCGCATGCGATATAATCGCTTATCGTTTCTTTATCTCCCATGTGAAGAAACTTCAAATCGTTGCTTGCGTCGATTTTCTGATCCTCTACCGCTTCAGCATAAGCGTTTTTAATTTTGAGCCACTCGCATCTTTTTTTGTTGCAAATTGTAATGCTTGCTCGTCCGATAAATGTAAAGATATATACGCCACTGCTTCTTTATTCTTTGTTTTTCATTCGATCTTTACTCCTATTTATATATATTATATTTACATCTACTTCTGGCTTTTCTTGAATTATTATTTTATCGGGTTTCTTCAAGCTTAGAATAGCTTCCATTTTTATTACCCAAACCAAGTAATTAGATCTCGTTAATAATGGAATTGATGACAACGTGCTTCTCTCCATCTTGAGCAGGATCGATTGTAACTGGTTATAACCTATAGACATATTTCTTTTTCCTCTTGGGCTATCCAAGCGCATCTCCAGGTGGCGAACGTAAACGGTCTGCCGGATGTAACACCCCGCGTGGAATTGAGCCACTTCGGATAGTGGTGGCTATAAACGGTCTCCTAGGTGTAAAACCCTGTGTGGAGTCAAGAAAGCTGCCGCGAACTAACCCCCCAAGCCAAGCCATAAGCCATGAGAGCATAGTATCGGGGAGCAGTGTCGTGGTCGATGCTTCTGGAACCGGGCGAAATCCCAAAGTATTTAGCCTTACTCACGCATGTGAAGCTCGAGTGGACCGTCTAGTTCCCTAGCTACTTATGGGATTAAAATGGATGATCAAACTTTTAATGAAGGTAGTACGGATTGAGAGCTCGCACGGCGGGACCTCGGGGACTGAAGCTGGAACGGCTATGACCGAAAGGATTCGTTTGGGCATTGGAGACACGGCGGTCTCGGAGTTAAGACCAGTCATCACTGAGAATCATTCTCCTAGAAAAAATCACAGCGGAGAGGAAAAGAAGAAGGCCAGGCGAGAGCGAGTGCTAAAAAAGGTTCCCTCCTACTTTGTGGATCCTCCTCGCACATCAAATGAAGTGGCTGAAGGACACAGCAACGGGAAACGTTGAAAGAGCTCCAATGAAATCCTTTCTCGGTGGAGAGAACTAGCAAGAAAAGCAATAGGGTCCAAGATGAGACCTATGTGGACGCCGCCGACCCCCTAACAAAAGTGATCGTGATGAAGGAATATCCGAATGAAGTAATCACTGCGGAGCAATTGGCATTTCTGAGGGGTGTTGTTCAAAAGAGATCAACGGGATCCAGGAAGGTTCTGGGATCCGTGCCCAGATCCTTCTACGGCACCTCCTTGAAGAGCAATGCGGCGGTGGTTAAGTACGCGAAGTACATCTCGCTGAGCTAATTCACTAAGCGCAAAGTCATGATCCCAAAATTCTTCCGAGAGCGCGGCTGCGGTCTTGGGGCGGTTGGAGAGACAAAATTTGGCCAAGCACCTCGGGCTGGAGGATTTTTGCCAAAAACGTGGACTGTCAGCGATGGTGGGAACCATTTGGCATCCAGAAACTCAAACTGAGAATTCTGGACTATAAACCTTGCCTCGATCGCGTCATCTTCAAAGTGGGGCCTAGGAAAGAGATAAAGGAGAGAAAGAGGTGCGTGTTATGACGGACACGGGATGGTCTACACCCAAATTAACTTGCATCGCAGTAAGAAATGCTTGACTGCGTTTGCCAAACATCAGTTTGTGATGCATCCTGTATAGGATGCATTCCTATACAGTTCCTACAAAAGCTGTGGGTTGTTCATGGCTGTCAGGGAAGTGGTAACGCGTGGGAAACTGTTTAGGATTCCCAATGAAGTAAGACCTAGAGCGTGTGTTGCGGTTAAGGGTTTTAATGTGCGCCCGCTGTCTGAATTTTGTTTTAAAAATCTAGTAGCAGTGGAAGTGATAAGATCGGCGAGGCCGGAGAAGTCAGGAAACTGATGGTGTGCTACTTTTCTCATGAAGGAACCGTGCCGCTAGCAGAATTGATGAGATCGGTGAACTTCTGCTAAAGTAGAGGATAACCACTGATCGGTGCGATTCAAATGCGCATCACATGAGTTGGGATAGCACCAATACAAACGACTAAAGCTAACGACTAAAGCTACGAAGGCTAAAGCTACTGAAGTATCTGGTAACGATGTTAGTGGACCTGGACGTCCTGGATAGAAGTAACGAGCGTTTCTTCTGCATAGCGACAAGGAGTACTTGACTTTATGCTCGCGAAGGATTTTGCGTGAAGTGATCGGGTGGAAGGTTTCTAACAAGCCCTATTTCTCCGATCACAGACAAATTACTTTTAAACTCTCGGGTCTCAAGGCCAAAATTAATAAATCCAAAAGGAACAAACTCTTTTAGGAGAAACCTAGAGATTAATGTCAGGGAATTTCCCAAAAGGTACGGTATGATGAATGAGCTAGAGCTCTGTGTAGAGCATCTGCAAGAGACTCGATTCATACGAAAAGAATTAGAACGTCAGGAATAACAGGGGTATTCCTTGGCGGAACCCAAAGCCAGGAGTTCAGAGGCAAAGTTCGGTGGGCCTGGAATAAAATCAGAAATACGGATCGGCCCTCCGCTGGGACCTCTATAGAATAGCTCAAAGGAATATAAGGATTCTGTAATTAAGGCAAAGAGGAAGAGTTGGAATCTTTGTGAGTCAATTAGGAAATACACTCAGCTGCAAAACTGAAAATTTCTGTCTAAGAATCCGGACACGATGTTAGAAAGGATTCGCCGGACGGTGCCAGTGTGACTGGCGAGCGTTGTCTGGTTCATTTTTTGAAGAACAATTTTCCTGGTTTCCGGAGAGGGACAGACTATAGAAGAGTGATATGGGCTTGGTTAGAGCTTGTGCTGAAGACTGAAGGTTAGTGATTGAAGTCATCGGGCCTGCTAAAATCAGATGAGCAGTCGGCTCCTTTAAGCTTTATAAATCTGCAGGTCCGGCTCTCATATTTCCGGCTCTTTAAGAGACAAGCTGGATCTGATAATTGGATCTTTAACAATGATTCTGAAAGCTTACCTAGCCCTTAGCTATACATCTCGATCATGAAAATTGGCGAGAGTAGTGTTTATCCCCAAGGTGGAAAGGGCAAGTTCCAGCCAATCAGCCTCAGGTCGATCAGTTTAACGTCGTTCCTGTTATAGACGATGAAAAATGTATTGATGCTTACATTCGGGATAAAGTGCTGATGCGGAATCCCTTGCATTGTAACTGGCACATATATCGAGTTGGCTATTCAGGAGAGACGGCCTTACGTTCGACTGTCAGTTATTGAAGAAGGGATACAACAAGGTTTCATGATGGAGCCTTCTTGAACATAGAAGGGGCATTTAACATGCCACATCGAGTAGTCTACTCTAAGGCGGCGCTCAGAAGGGTACCGACAAAATTCGTTGAGTGGATCCGAACTATGCTGGATCGTCAGATCACGACTTCTCTGAGATCAGAGAGTGTAGAAGCATGGATATACAGGGGTTATCCGCAAAATAAAGTTCTCTCTCCACTCCTCTGGTGCTTAGTGACTGATAAGCTGCTGAAGAAACTCAATAATAGGGGCTTCAGATCAATTGGGTATATCAATGATTTGACAATCCTTATTCAAGAACCTTTTCTTGAAATGCTTCTTAAGTTCACACAAGGGGCACTAGAGGTTGTTCAGGAGTGATGTGACAGGACCGGATTATCAGTTAATCTGATGAATTTAGTCACTTTCACTCACAGGTATAAGGCAGATTCTGTGCAAGAACTTGTTTTAAACAGAGTTAGATTGATGGCTGAAGAATCGGTCAAATATCTTAGAGTTACCTTGAATAAAAAATTAATCTGAAAATTGCACCTAGATCTAACATCCAGAAAAATTTGCACCTATTTTGGGTGTGTAGAAGAGCCTTTGGGCAGACATGGGGCCTGCGAAGAGGATTTACGGACTCTACATTGCAGTGCTGCGTCCGAGGTTACTCTATGCGGCAGTAGTCTGGTAGCCTAGGATGCAGGAGGCTACAGCCAAAGCATCGTTGGAACGAATTAGGATACTCATTCTTAGAGAAGTTATGAGAGTCATGAAAACAACGCCGGTGGCAACCATGGGACTGTTGTTTGGTCGAACCGCTTCACCTTACGTGGTTGCAATCACGGCTGCGACCTATCACCTGAAGTGCAAAAACAAGTGGAGAGCTGGTGCTGTACACATTCGGTTACCGAAAGAGATCCTGTCGGGGATCGTATTTGACATGGAACAGGACAGGATGACAGTCAAACGTGACCTTGATAGATCCTTCAAGATCTGTCTTCCCGGTCGCGAAGAATGGAAAAAGAACGAGATGCCCATTATTAGGAATGAGGACATGTATACGGATGACTCCAAAACTGATCAAGGCACTAGTGTTAATATCTTCAGATGCCGAAAGAGAAGTGTTGTTATCCCATTTGAGGAATTTACTACAGTATTTCAATCGAAAGTAGTAGCGATCTTAAATTATGCTTTGATGCTGATTGTTTTGGGGGAGGTGTGTAGGCGCATGAGGATCTGCCGAGCGGCCCAGGGCGGCGCTAGGTGCACACATCTTCAATTTGCGGCTAGTCTGGGAATGCAAATGCAGCCTGGACCACTTGGCGGTGAATAACAACGTTCTAGTGTGGATCCTGTAGGGACATTTTAAAGTCAGAGGCAATGAGATTGCTGACAAGTTAGCTAAAGCTGGATCGAATGTTGGGACCAGTGTCGGCCCTGGCTCTAGCAGTGTCTGCAGGCTAAGATCAGGATCTGACTACGAGTTCGTCATGTGAACTACTGGTAAGAAGTAACCAAGATCAAATGCAGGCAGGCGAGGACCTTAATGGGTGAGGTGGTCGGCGCGCGCGCGAGGACATAGCCAAATGCATTAGGATCTTGAGTAATACGTAGATCAGAGTGGCGGTGCAAATCTACGGGACATGGCTTCACAAACTGCCACATGCACAAACTGGGATTGTCACTCCCAGGTGTAGGAAATATGGTCACGGTGAGAAAACTAGTTTCCATGGTCCGTGGTGATCCGTATCAGGAGCGTACATAATAATCGATATACAATGTCCGTCTTACACATCTGCGTTCCACTTGTCTTTATATATTCTAATGGGTTTTTTTATATACATATATATTTTTTACATATATGAATACATTTGTTTGAATAATTTACACATCATTTTTGAACTTTTCCAAGAGATATGAAACACATTTGACTGTTCAATTACGTATATGAATAATGTTGAGTTCTACAATATATCAAGACCTGAACTGGTAATATAATGAATATGCGAACATTTGCGATAATTAATTTGTATTGCGATTTTTTCGATAAGTTAATGTCTGAAGAGGACTCAATCCGATAGCCGAAACTTGTAATTTGTATTTAAACTGAGTTTTTATTATTTTTTATTTTTTATTATATATTATTATATATTTAATTTTACTTTTCTCTATATGTAATTTATTCTTTTAATTGTGTGACTTTTTTAAAGAAAGTGTTGACTCTTACTTTGCCCGTTATTTATTGTTTTTTATTATTATTATTATTATAAATGTGAAAATAATTATTATCATTAATGTTGCTGTTATTATTATTATTATTATTAATACTGAAGACAAATATAAGCGAAAAATGTAAAATACAAAAAAGATATAGAAAACATTACTCTTCATAGTAACGCAGGACACAAATACAGTTTGCTCTCCTAATTTGAATCAGTGGACAATCACTGATTCAGTGCCTTTCCTCTTCCGTCATTTCCTTTCTTCCTTGTAAAGCATTCTCAAAGAGTTCTGGTGCTCCCCTTCATATCATCATTCCATCTTATTTCCGCCGACATCCTTCAAGGTTAGATCATTGCCCTCCTATTATCCTATAATTTTCATCGCTGATTTTCTCTCTATTTCTATTACCTATTCTATTCTAATACCTCTAAACTTTTGATGATGTTGTTCTTCTTTCTTTCTTTGAGAGTCTTCCGACTCTCTCAGTTGCGTCTGCTCTAAATCATGATATTAAATCTATCGCTGAATAGACCTCTAAAAATTCCCTTCATTTAAATCCATCTAAATCTTATTTCTTATCTACTAGTTCCACTTCCTTGTTATCTCGCTTCTTTCCTTTAACATCTCCTTAAATTCTATCACAATTCCTCGTTTAGCCTCCATTAAAATTTTTGGAATCCATTTCAACTCCTCCTGAACTTTCTGTACCCACAACTCTGTTGAATACCAAGACGCTTTTCTTCGTCTTTGTCTTCTATCTCTTTTGTCATATCCAAAATTCTTCTCAAAAACTCTCAACTTTTTATAGTGTGCTCCGAATACCTTGACGTAATACATTCCTTCCGGTTGGAAGAGGAGCACAAGTTCGATTGGAAAAATGTTGCAATTTTGGATGAGGAACTTCAGTATAAAAAGAGATTGGTATCAGAAATGATACACATCAGGAGACAGATACATGGCCTCAACTTACAGATAGACTTGGAGGGGCTTCCCAAGGCTTACTTTCCAATTGTAGGCGGGCTATAAATATCGGAACGTTGTTATTGCCAGCTAATTAGTGTACGTTCTTCGTTAAATTAAGATTAAATTATTAGAGATTCCGTTTTGGTTTTGATGTCCGTTTGGACTATAATTAATATCAGAGTTTTCTTTCCTTCTTTTTTCTTTTTCTTTGCGATTAATGTTCTAAGTATGTTAAAAGTTATCCATTAATTTCCATATAATTGACACTGAATAGTCAAAGACTAATTTTTGACTAAACCTATAGAATTTAAATGTTTGTGATATAGTGAATTTTTGTTTTAATGAACTACCTTCTATTGTTTTACAATAAATCGTTTTTCCTTTCAAAAAAAATTTACCTTTTAATAATTGTAACACATTTTAGATTGTTATTAGAATTCGTTTTTATGTTATAGTTTCCGTTAATAGATGAAGGTGGCTCACTGAAATGGATTAGTTAAGAAAAAATTTTTTTTTGTATTTATAACATCACTCTGTCTCTGAGAATGGCTCAAAAGTGAGCCAAAACATGTAAATGGATTAATTATTATTAAAGTTGTTTTATTAACCGTTTGGTTTGAACAAGAATTATCGTACTTGGCTCCTATTGCCCTGTTGTATCCAACCATTTGGTAAAAGATGAAAAGTAAGGAGCGGAAAAAAAATAGGACAGTTTGATAAGCAGCATCTCAATAGTTCCTTTGGAGAATTCGAAGAAATAACCAAAGAAAGCCACAAAGTTCAAACTCGAAATTTTTTTTAAAAATACCAGATATTTGATTTGAAAGACATACGGAGGAAGCAAAACTTTCGTCGAGAGAGTTGCTTATTTAAAAAAGTTATCCTTTTTCATAGGGACATATTTTTTTAAAGCAACTATGTGTTTTCTTTACATCAATTGAATCATCTTATTATTTTGTTCATAAAAGTTTTAAGGTTCGATTATAAAAAAATTAATAGTTTACAAATTATTTAATATTTTATGTTAATATATGCTGGAATAAAGCATAAAATATCTCTCAAACTATTGGTTTTATGATATCACCAATATTTTTATTTGCAAAATAATTAGAGGAATCATATTGTGTAAAAAAATCATACAATTTCATTCAAAAAAGTGAAGGTGATCTTGAAGTCTCAAAAAAACATAATTTTGAGAAAAATTTGTTGCTCATCATAATATATGCTTCCTTTCAAATAGAACAAGATTCTCTGTAGTATTTTCTCATATCAAAAACAATGGAGATATTTTAAATCATCAAGTTAGAGGTCATGTATATGTATATATGTTAGAGGCTTGCATTGAACAGCTTTGCCGCTGTTCTTTTTTAACATTTTTAATAACAAAATGTTTGAATACCCCAATAAAAGTATTTGTCCCCGAAAGCTATGACTTTTTCCCACTTTTTTGGCAGAAGTTGAATTTTGCGACGAAAAAATCTGTTTTTTAAGTCAATCCATTCAGCAACCCAATTTTCGACTTCGCCGTAATTATAGAAATGTATGTCTTTCAGAGCATTATGCATTGATCGGAATAAATCACTTCGTATCAAGTTCGGAGATTACGTTGGGTGTGGGAGAATCTCTCATTAGAGCTCCATTAGTGTTTGTTTCACGGTTATAATAGCAACATGGAGCCGAGTGTTATCTTAGAGAAGAATCAGCTTTTGGCAATTTGATGCAATCGGTAGTCGTTTTTGTGTCAAATTATCATTCAAATGCTCCAATTGTTGTCGATAACGTTCGGTTATTATTTCGTTCGATTTTAACGGCTCATACCTTCCATTCTTCTTCTTGTAGTGCCGTACGCTTAAAGTAGCGTGTAGGCGTAAATGTGTCTATTGTACAATGTGCAGTATGCCCTCTTCTGTCTAAATATAGTGGCAGCGTCTGATATGTTACATCAGATGTTGCGGAGCCATGAGTGCTGCTTGCGGCCTGATCCCCGCTTTCCCTCGATCTTTCCAGTAAGAATGGTTTTTAGTAGGTATTTAGGTCCTCTCAATATGTGTCCTAGATATGATATCTTCCGTTGTTTAACTATCTCTATCAGTTATCGATGTAATGTCGGGTGTTGGCTCGATGTAATATCTCCTCCATTAGATATGTGTTCTGTCCATGAGATTCTTAAAAACCTTCGTAGCGTCCACATTTCGAAGGCTTCTATCCTGTTGAGAGATTTAACTTTGAGTGACCAGATTTCTATTCCATATAACAGTATTGGCTATACGTAACATTTGGTCACTCGCATTCTAAGGCTCAAAGGCTCTTCTTGTCTCAGTAAGTACTTATTAAATCTGGCAAAGATCTAGCCGCTTCTAGCCATTGCTACTCTTACTTTAACCTCCCTATCACTATCCTACTTGTCGTTGAGTATAGAGCCTAGGTATTTGAATTTGTTTATCCTCTCAATCAGTTAATCGTCGATATGGAAGTTTGCATTCCCATGAGGTTGTCGGCTAACTATCATCAGTTTGGTTTTGCTCACATTGATGTTAAGTCCATACACTTTTCCTATTTCATTGACGATGTTCAAGGAGTTTTGTAGTTCTTGGATATTTTCAGCCAATATTGCCGTATCGTCTGCATATCGTAGAGATTAGTTAATTAGATAAGAATAATTTCTCTATATACCTAAATTGACTTTTCTTTGGTATAATATTGGGAGTATAAATAAGTTTCCGCCGTTTGACAAACAATGGCGCTACCAGTATGTTATAGTTAAAATTGTCAGCTGTAAAACGTCATATCGTAAGGTTGGACATCTGGTAAGAACATAACCTTGAAATATTAGCGATTTTACATCAGCATCTTATATCTTTTTTCATACAAAAATGTCGAGTTTTGAGCCGAATAAGCATCATTTGCGGGAGCTTTTGATTTACTTCTTTAATTTGAAGAAATCTGCAGCTGAGGCGCATCGATTGCTTGTAGAAGCATATGGTGAGGCTGCCTTAAGTGAGAGAAGTTGCCATGAATGGTTTCAAAAGTTTAAGAACTGTGGTGAATTTGACGTCGAAGACAAAGAACGTAGCGGAAGGCCGAAAGTGTACGAAAACGCGGAATTGGAAGCATTATTGGATGAAGATTCGTGCCAAACGCAAGAAGCACTTGCACTTACATTAGGAGTGACTCAACCAGCAATTTCACATCGCTTAAAATCGTTGGGAATGATTCAAAAGCAAGGAAATTGGGTTCCATATGAACTGAAGCCGAGAAACGTTGAACGCCGATTTTTCACATGTGAAATGCTGCTTGCCAGGCATAAACGAAAGGGTTTTTTGCACCGTGTAGTCACTGGTGATGAAAAATGGATCCACTACGATAACCCAAAAAAGAAGAAATCATGGGGACCACCTGGCCATGCTTCAACATCGACAGCCAAGCCGAATATTCATGGGAAAAAGCTCATGTTGTGCATTTGGTGGGATCAGCTAGGTGCCGTTTATTATGAGTTGTTCAAACCGAACGAAACCATTATTGGGGCTCTCTACCGAACACAATTGATGAGATTGAGCCGAGCACTCAAGGAAAAACGCGCTCACTACTACTTCAGACACGACAAAGTTATTCTTTTGCATGATAATGCTCGTCCACATGTTGCGGCGCCGGTCAAAACCTACTTGGAAACACAATTGGGAAGTTTTACCCCACCCGCCGTATTCACCAGACATTGCTCCTTCTGATTACTACCTGTTTCGATCGATGGCGCATGGCCTGTCTGAGCAACACTTCACATCATATGAAGATACCAAAAATTGGGTCGATTCGTGGATAGCTTCAAAAGATGAAGCGTTTTTCGGACGCGGTATCCGTATGCTGCCAGAAAGATGGGAAAAAGTAGTGGCTAGCGATGGACAATACTTCGAATAAAACATTAGGTACCGTTCTTTCACAATAAATGCCCAATTTTTGATAAAAAACGGCGGAAACTTATTTATACTCCTAATATGATATATAATTTTGCTTTCCTGTTAAGCCACATTCGAGTATTTGATTCTTGTTTTTATGGAATAGACGTACTTGGGAAACCACATTTACAAAAACGCATCTTACAATAGTACTTCACGGGTGACGTGGAAAGTTATTGTCAAAATGTACATTATCATAATTATATAATATATTAGAAAACTACGTTAAGTATATCATTAAGGAACAATGAATAAATTAATAATAGAAAATTTTATGTTAATAGATATAAATTATTTAATAAAAAAACATGTTTCAATGATAATTTGGCGGAAGGTGCGCTCCCACTATAATTCTGGTATAGGGACGCTCCGGAGTCAGAACGTCACGTGAGCGCCCGGCGGCTCAGTCACCAAGTCTTAAGCAATAGTGGGAGTCGCTCGCCGGAATCGGTCCAAAATGTGCAAATCGTTGCGAACAACTGCTTTTTAGGTATTTAACTTCTAGTTCATATTGGTTGTATTTTCACATGTAAAGTCTAAAATAAGATTCTTATTGTTTATATTATCACCTGAAAGAAGAACGTTGTTTCCAAACATGTACTGATTATTGCGAAGAATATTACTAAGACCTCATTAGTTTAAAGACTTAGGATGTTCGCATGGAAAGCAAAAGATTCGGATTCCACTCCCGTCCGAGGTAATATTCTTCGCAATACATTTATTTATAGTTTTTCAGCGCATTAACATCTTTCTAATATGATGCCTGATTGAGCATCAAAATATTAAAAACCGCTTGTCAATTTAATTTAATAAAAGTGATATTATTATAATAGTTTAAATATGTTTATAAGTTCGGAACGCCGCGCGGTTGAATGATTACAAATATGTACATATACAGAGTAAGTAAAAAATCCCGGATCGGTGAAATATTGTATCTCAAAAACTAAGTATTTCCGAAAGAAATGTTTTCTAAAAATTATAGGGTTTTAAATGATCTGTTCACTGATCTTGTCAGTCTGACCTTGGGTGGTGCAGCCAAAATCAGATCAAGAGAACATCGATTTTTTTTTAAATGGTACTCTCTACTTTTGATTTGAGTATTGTTGCTCAAAGCGCACGTGCAAAAACAGAAGCACTCCCGAAACTCTCGCGGATTCCTTTCATACGAGGCTAGCTCGTAGCAATAATTATTATACAGCTTAGAGGACGAGAACAAGTTCTTGACAGAAGAAGTCAAAGACTCAAAACAGAACAACAGAATATAAAACACGAAGTCGTCAAGGGGAAGACTCTCTTCTGCATTTACGATGACAGACTCGATTCAGAGTAAACTATCGCGCGGCGCAGTAGTATATATAGAGGGTATCTGGAATTTAAATATCAAAACTTCGGGAGCGTATAGGGAATCAATAAACTAAAATCCTATACAGATGTGCTCGTTTTTGTTTTGTTTTGGAGAAAATCGCAAAAAAAGGCAAAACGTAAGTTTCATTTTTATACTTTCTCATTACTTATTCATGTTGTATTTATTCATTTGCTTAATGTAGATATTGTTCAAAATGTTGGCCTCTTGCAGCAATGCAAGTATTGCATCTAGTAGCTCGTATTGCAGCTAAACACAGATCTGGCGATATTTGGTGCACTGCAGCCTCGATTCGATTTCCCCATTGATGTCTTAAGTTAATTGATGACGAATAAACTTCCTGTTTCAGGACCCCGCCCCCTCCCCCACCCCCATACAAAGAAGTCCAGTGATGTCAGATCAGAGGATCAGGTGACAAAATACTATTTCCCCACGTTCGATCCATCGTTGTGGAAAATGTCTGTCTAGTCAAGTTCTGCTATAATGAGCTGGACATCGAGTTGAAACCACATTTCAATCCGTTGCTGCAGATGGATATTTTCTAAATAATCAAAGAAGTCAATCTCCAAAAAATCTATATATCTGGCTGTATTTAATCTGTCGAGTAAAAAAAAATGGTCCCACAAGACAAAAACAAACATAAAAAGTTTTTACTTGAAAAATAGAATTATTATTATTGTTTTTATGTACGAGTTTAGCTATAATAATATTATACTTTAGAGGCAGTGCAAGGACAAGCAACTATATTTTGTATTTTTTTTTTTGCAATTTTCTCCATAACAAAGCAAAAATTAGTATACAGAACTTTTTTCTTAGTTTATCGATTTCCTACACGCTCTCGAAGTTTTGACATTTATATTCCAGATACTCTGTATATAATTTACATTGAATTATTTAAACATTAAAAATCCAGCTTTGACCGTTATAGGAATTTAATTTCTAGTTCGTACTGAATTTCATATTGAAATTTATATCAATTGGCTCATTTTCAATGTTATTTCATTAGGTTCAATGTTATTTCACTTCAATTCATTAAAATTTCATTAAGATTTCATTATAATTCATTAAGATTTCATTAAAATTCATTAATGTTTTATCAAAAATTCCATACAAAATATTATATTTATTTTATTTAGCTCCGCGTTGGTACAAGAATATAATGTATGTACTATTATATTATAGAATACATGTGAAAACCATGTACAAATGTAAATTTGACATGTGTGCAGATAATCTGAGCTTCGGCTATATATCTAGCTCTGATTATTCAGAGTGTTTCTGAATTCGAGGACACGGATTGCACAGTATGATTGTATGTGCCAAAAGAAGCAACTTTTTCCTCTGGCAAAATTGCATTCAAATAGTAGTTTTTGTTTTCTAGTTGATATCACTGAAGAAAATACTGAAAGTAAAATAAGTAGATTAGACAACTCGTAAATAATTATGATATTTAGATATCACGCATAGTTTTTATAAGATCTTTAGCAAAATAGTAAAATAATAACATACATGCTCATACGCTGGGCCGCATCGCGCGCCATGTGTGTGTGCATCCCTGATCCATGCGTAACGTGGAGTGCTCACTCGTTAACTTAAAATTGCTTTTATTTAAAAAGCGCTATATAATCCGTGTCCTTGAATTCTAAAACATCCCGTATACATCGACAAAATATCATTAAAGATCGACATTCTTATGGGAATTCGCGTCTCTGTTTAAGTTATTCACTAAAAATAAAAATTTATATGATTGAGGGTAAAAAATTGATAACGCAGTATTAATTTCATGATTTACATATATTGTGACGTGACGTTTTCGGTCCATCACAAGGGTCATAAGATCCGACCGAATAGCGCAGCTCTTCCATTTTTAGAAGAACGTATCTGCATTCTTATAGCGTCACTTTGTATACTTTACGTTTGCTTCGTTTTGTTTATGCGTCTCGCAGATTTTTTGCATTGGTTTATCGTTTTTTTTTTTTCGTGCGTTATCATATCGCAAATTACAGGATAATTGGCTCCCTTGTGACCTTGTAAATTTTGCGTCGGCTCACCGAACTATAGAGGAAGAGAGAAGATGGCCAGGAGTGAAAGTCAGAGAAGGAGCCATTGAGGATTGGCCGGGGCGCCCAGCATCCTACCATACGGGTAGCACGCAGGTGATATCGCTCCACATTTCAATTTTCGTTTTTGGTTCAAGACCTGTTTTATCGCATCACATTAGATGGCATGGTGGAATGATCTCGAGGACCGCAGCCGGGAATGACTACTCTACGCCCCCGTATCGGTGAGAGCCCCATGATGGAGTTACGGAGACTCCTGAGGAGTCGGAAGCGGAGACACCGACGATCGGAAGCCGGCATCGAGATGTGAATTTCCCGCACAATAAAGATCCTGGAGACTCTCCTAAACGGCCGAAGAAGATCCATTGAATTCCGCGCGCCAGGGCACGAGACACTTGAGTGACACGACCTTCGCGGACCCGCAGGGCCACGCGCCAATTAGACGCGATAAGGCCCCCTTGCGAAAATAGCGATCCCTGCGTGCCCCCGGGAGGATCAGCGCCCAACACTTGTGCTGTGGCGAGCGAAGACGAAGCATTGAGGAAGGAGACAGGACCTCCAGAGCCAGGAAACAGAGAGTGCCGAGCAGAGGGTCAACGGGGTGAGACGAGCTCCATAAAAGTGTAAGCCGCCAATTTCCATGTCTGAGAGGCGCGTGCAATTATCATTGTCGGATTCAGTATGTGAGACGCACGCGGAAATGTCGTGCGTTAGATTTTTCGCGGTATTTGCGTCTAAGCGTGTCGCCTCCCGTGACGACTCGCGCGCGCGCGCGTTATAAGATTTTCGGGAGAGTTATTTTCCGCGTCCACCTAAGCCACAGCCTAGTCATTGTCGTTAAGTCTTGTCGCGTATCGAGTTGCGTCGCTGTATCGAAACTTTGTATCGTGGTGTCTGCGTCTACTTTATCTTTTTCCGACTTTCTGTAAAACGGTTCGAAGCCCCGTGGACGAGCACAAGATCGCGTTTGTGATAATACCGTAAACGTCTCCTATCTCGGCTATCAAGGCGTCGAGCTATTGTTTGTGCGATTTGCGAAAAATATTCTTATGTGGCGTGAGCTCGTGCCGCCGAGAGTTAGCGTAATTGATACATACCACGTCGAGCATGTTGGGGTCCGTGCGAGACTAAATTAACGCATTTCGATCGAATATTGTCACCGTGATCTTGTCTACGAGTACGAACGAAGTCGAAGATTAATCAAATATATTTGTTACTCTTATTATTACTAATTATTGTGTGAGTTATTGCCGTCGCCCATTCACTTCTCCAAACGATCCTCTATCCTCGACCACGAACCGCCCCCTCTGCCATTTCCGAGGCTGAGCTACCGGTTACGAGTACCGTCGACGTTCGCAGCTCGTTAGAATATCGTATAGTGAATATACCGAATGATTTTGAGATGAGCACGCTCACTGTGCCTGGTGCCCAACTGTCGGTTTCGAGATTTTGCGTCGCCCTTAAGAGTGGCCACGTGAAGACACATTTCTGTTGCGTTTCTTTTGAAATCACATGCAACCTGATTGTATAAGAGAGAATATTGACTGCGACGAAGTTGTGCCACGCTCAGTGAATGCGGTTGCAATATATTAGATTAAGTAAAAAGTCATCGCGTTTTTTTTAAAGACATC